ATAGGCAAGATTATGCATGTATGATTAGGATGCTTGGTGATGCATGATATGCATGATTTGCAAGGCCTTAAATGTAGGCATAACACCGGGTGTTACAGAAGAACCGGAAGCCACACTCGCTTGCATGGACGCTGCTTCTCCTCCATGCCAGGAGAAGTCGCTGCCATGAGCCAGCGAGGGACCAGCCTCCCATGGCCGCGGTAGGTGCTCTGGTCCTCTGCCCGTCTGCCGAGCCGCCTCCTCTGGTCCGCTGCTGCTCACCTGGGACACGTTTCTCCCGCTGCCAGGGAGAAGTCGCTGCCAGCGAGCCAGCGAGGACCAGCCTCCAGCATGGGCCACGGCAGTGCTCTGTCCTCTCCTGCCTGTCTGCCGAGCCGCCTGCCTCCTCGGTCCGGCCACGATCTGATCTGCCACGCTCTCTGGTCCTCCGCCTCCTCTCGGTCCGCCGAGCCGAAAGGTGTACTTGATTGATTCCGATTCCTCTGCTCGTATTTTTCTACTTGCTTGTGGCCTCTTCTTTCGAGCCGGACCGGACAAAGAACGTATTTTTCTACTTGCTTGTGGCCTCTTCTTTCGAGCCGGACCGGACAAAGAAACATCCTTTATATTTGTTTTGCTCGGTGCTTTGCTCACTTTTACTTTGTGTCCGGAATCTGAATCGGCAACTTGTTTTTTATATACCAACCTGCCTAGTTGTTAATTATTTAGTGTTTAGTGAACTAATACTCGAAGGCTCAATGTTAGTTTGATCTGTGAACCGGATGGCGAGTCATATGCAATACAAAGCATTCTCTTTTTTTCCCGATCAGATGACCCAAATTTCATTATCATAAGCAATGAAATTACAAGAAACGTACAATGATTAACGTGTTCAAAAGTCTCACCAACCCACATTAGCACCAAACCAAAATGATGTCAGAAATGGCCTGACGGAATACAGGGCCCAGAATCGAAAGCAAAGACACCCAAACTACTACGAACACGAAAGCAAAACAATGCCATTACAATCCAACATCCTGGAAAGACGAGACAACTAACAACCGAACATAATCTAAACTGCCACCATCTAGTCTAAAAAAAGAAGGTGCTTTCAGACATGCACTCCAAAGATCTTCCAGGTTCCCAAGGTGTTCGGATGATGGCGATGAGGTTAAGCCACCAAACCCTTTGGCCTGTTAGAGCTTGCTCCATGTGTGACCCTCATATCCGCTCAACTGGAGGAACTTTAGGGCAATTTGCTTCAAAGCTTCAGGTCCCTCCTCAAAAGCTTATGGGTTTTCCCTGCCTTGAGACCTGCCCAAATGTGATAGGAACGAACATAATAGGAGATTTGGTTATTTTCTTCTCAAAGCACACATTGTTTCCAGCTCTCAACAGGGCCCAACATATGAAGCATTGAGCAACATGAAATTCTTTTTTTTTCAGGTTGGTAAGCACAGAATCACCCAGACCGAGAATTGTTCAAAAGAGCTTGGCCTACAGCTTAACCAAAAGCGTGCAGCAATAGGCTACGATGAATTTAGCTAGAGGGCATTCAAAGAACAAGTTTAACCACCTTCTAAAAGCTTGATCACATCGATCTCCAATGTTTTTAAGGCGTAATAATTACTTTGCTTGTCGTGTTTCATAGGAGTACATCTAAATGGCAACACAAGACACCAGTAAGTCCACAAAGTGTAGGCTCAGTCTATCACTGAATATGATCCAAGGACAGATCCAAAAAGGAAGGCCAGTCCTGGTGATCCTAGGTGGAAGTATGGCTTCGGCCGTAAATTGGCAATGAGAGATTTGGTTGAGTGTATCCTTTGTGGAACTCAAGTAAAGTCTGAAATCAAGAGATTGAAGGAGCATCTTGTAGGTGGATATGGAGATGCTCTCAAATGTGAGAAGACAACAACAACAATTGTTCTTTGAAATGGAAGCAAAGACTAGTTCAGGGAAGAAGAAGGAGAGCGCTAAACCTAGATGATGATGATGATGGTGTTCAAGTGGTGGAGGTTCAAAACAATGCTAATGTCCTCTCTCACATCCGGTACAACTGTGCAACATCCAAGTTCGTGGACAACATCCAAAAGGAAGCAATCTGCTCTCAAATTTGCAAATCGCCACCTAGACCAAAAGAGAGAAAGAGAAGAAGTCATGATTACCATGCTTCGGAAAACCCTCAAGAAGTGGTTGAGGAAAGGCATTCTAAGAATGGACCCGCACAAAGCAAAGGTGGGAGGGAAGGATCGGACCAAGGAAGAAAGAGATGAAGTCAATATGCATGTGGCCAATTTCTTCTATGAGTGTAGAATACCACTCAATGCTATCAACTCAAGGAGCCTTGAGATTATGTGTGAGGCCATTGGGCAAGATGGACTGGATATAGACCTCCAAGCTACCATGAGGCGAGGGTGCCATTGCTTGGAAAGGCTGTGGAACAGTCAACAAAATAAAGGAGAAGCATGAGGTCGCTTGGAAGCAATATGGTCAGTACACTAATGTCGATGGGTGGACAGATAGGCGGGGCCGTTACCTCATTAATTTCCTAGTCAATAGTCCAGAGGGGACTTTCTTCTTGGAGTCTGTTGATGCATCCAAAGAAGTACATGATGCTCCAATGTTGGCGATTTACTACAAAGCAGAGAATTGATCTCATTGGAAGAGACAAGGTTGTTCAAGTGGTCACCGACAACGGTGCTAATTATAAGGCAGCTTGCAAGCTTCTTATGGAAAGAATTCCAACACATCGCTCGACCCCTTGTGCAAAGACAATGCTTGGACCTCATGCTAGAGGACATTGGCAAAATGAAGGAGTTTAGCAAGCCTATTGCACGTGCAAGACAAGTTACTACCTTTTATTTATAGGCACGGGAGGCTTCTTGATGCAATGAGGGAGAAGACAGAGGTAGAGATCTTGTTAGACCAGGAGTAACTCGTTTTGCTACTGCTTTCCTCACTTTATGCAGCCTACACACTCATAAGGATGCTCTGAAATTCCTATTTGTAAGTGATGACCGGACTAAGTCCAAATTGGCAAGAAACGAAGCAGAAAGAAAGTGCATGACACCATCCTTTCAACCGAATTTTGGAACTCGGTTGAGGATCCGCCTGAGAGCATCACAGCCCCTTATTGTTTTGTTGAGGATAGTTGATGGGGATGAGAGGCCAAGAATGCCAGAGGTTCAGCTTTTGTATGGAATATGCAAAGAAAAAGATTAAAGAAAATTTCCCTACTAGGGAAAGGCGGACTTGCTTAAGCGTATCTTGGCAATCATTGACAAGCGTTGGGAAGATCAAATGGACCAACCATTATATGGGGCAAAGCACTATATTTGAACCCAAACAAGTATTTTGACCTCGAAATGATGATGTTATGGTTTGTAAGCTAAGGTCCGCATTTATTGAGGTTCTTTCAAAAAATGGTGCCTGACCAAGATCTTCAAAACAAGATTGATGACCAAGCTTTGGAATATGAGGACTTAAGGGGTAGCTTCAAAGAACAAAATTGCAATCAACAACATCAAAACCAAGTCTCCTACTAAGTTATTCACCGATCGTACAATCTAATTTTTAGTCTTTCCTAATTTCTAACATAAAATGTTTATTTGGTCACTTGATCTAGTTGAATGGTGGCGTTCATATGGTGGCAAAGCCATAGAGCTTCAAAGATTTGCAAAACGTGTTGTTGGGCTTTGTGCTTCGGCTTCAAGTTGTAAGCGTTGTTGGAGCACATTTGAGTCAATAAGTAATCATCAATTACATAAGTACTCAATTATCCCAGCTTCAAGGAATAAATAAAATCTACTATCTATTAATGCTTGCTTGAATATTTTTTTTGTTTGCATTTTTACCATTGCGATTCATACTAAGAAAAGAAACAAAGTTAGAGCATAAAAGGCTTAATGATTTGGTCTATGTTCAAGACAACCGAAAGATGGCGTTGAGGTTTCAAAAGCGACATGAGAAAGGAGCAGCAGCTTTGATCCTTTGTGTTTGGAAGACTTTGATTGGAACAATGAATGGGTTGATGTGGATGCGGAACCAGTCCATGATGGCCGTGGACTTGAAATTACATGGGATCAAGTTGATGAGGTGTTGGTGCATCCTAAATGTATCGTGGTCGTAATTTCCCTAGGGCGGCCCACATGCGATGCAACTAATATTGATAGAACTTATACTGTGAGGCGGATCACAGCAGCTAATGCCCCAATTAGGAGGACTTAGAACCACGGGAGGATGAAGACATGGAAGATGATAACTCGATGAAGAATATCTGGTTGATGATGTGGAAGTTGATGACTGGTGAAATTGCACCTATTGTTGGCTTGTGAAAGTGATCAAGTTCTTGTGGTGGTGGTGGCAATTCAGATCCTTTTGTGATGGAGGATGACTTCTATTGACTTAATGATGCTTGAGAGTTGTGAAAGTATTTGTACCAGACTATTTATACACTAGTATTGTAGTATTGTGGAATGTGCTCACTGAGCACTCCAGTTATCTTGTTTAGTGGACTATTGTTGAACTACTTGTGTAATGGTTTTATTTGTGGCAGTGTGCTTATCTACTCGTTAATCTTTACCTGTCCCTCAACTAATTTCTTTTTTTGCTGGTGCCATATTCCCTATGAAATACTTAGGTACTAACCTGAATTGTCTCTCCATTGCCGTGTATTGTTGGATGCACACTTGGGGCTGCGAGCTGCACAGGAGAGGACAACACCAAGGTATGACATGCTTCCAGCTCTCTAGTCTATACTACTGTTGGATGGCCGTAAGGCGTCGCCTCGCCTTACGCCTTACTCGCTTTAGCGTAAGGCGATAGTTGGTCGCCTCGCCTCGCTTTACCGCCTTAAAAACATTGCGATCAATCATAGAATGTTTCGTTAGTGACATTTCATCTTAGGAATACTACACAATTTCTCGAGCGAGCTACCGATATACAGATATAGGACAACACATGGAACAAAAACCTTGTGGCTGTCAACTGGTATCGTTAGTGAGGGGATCCAACATCTGCTACGAAGACGAGCCAATCAGAAGATCAGCAACCACTTCATCGATCAAGGAACCTAACAACTCCGCCGCTATGTCTCCGCCAGCTTGGTATGATTCCATCTTGAAATCAACCCAGCTCCCCAGAGTACTACTCATTTCCCTGTACACAAGCTCATCCACCATCCACTCCTCGGCAACCTTCAGGCTGGTCATCTCTCGATGGATTTCTTCCGCTGACAAGTTCTGCAGAACTGCCATCCCCATAAACCATAAGCTGTAGCCAGCATTGAAGTAGTAAGCGCATTTCACACTCAATAATTCATTGACACAATCAAAGAGCAGCCTCCGCCTCAGTCTATAACCTTTGCCCTCTTCACCAGCCAACAACCTAATATTGCCATTTAATTCCTCCAACAGATGTGGATCCAGAATACCTGAATTTCCAAACCGCTCCAAATAAGAGAAAATGTGCCAGGCAGGAGAGCTAGCATTCAGTATCTCTCTTATAAACTCCACCTCTTGTCTATTATCCATATGACATGAGCTGCTACTTTCTGATCGAGGGATTTCTGCTGTAGCCACTGTGATTGATGAGGCTGTGTCAGAATATTCTGAAGAGGCATCCGCTTCTAGGAATTTGTTGAAGTGTGTCAAGTCAGAAGTTGTTGCTCCTTCAGTTGAACTAAACAATCTTGTTCCTGCAAGAGTAAAACAGGAAATAAATTTAGAAAGGTCCATGTCTACTGTTACGGCAAATTCCAAGCTACTCTATTTACCATTTGCACTCCTCCAGCTCTCTGATGAGCTGCAGGTTTCCGTTGAAATAGAAGCTTCCCATGTGAAAAGGGGACTTCGGCCAAGATGCTCAACCTCTGCTCGATCCGTGACATCATGATCATACTTCACAGGCTGAGATGACTGATCAAAGGTAGATATGTTAGCATAAAGATTAATGTTTAACCTGTTATGTATACATTAATACCGACAAAGTCCTCTTTATATCAGTGTTAATCTACAGATTTTTAGCAACAAAATAAGACTGTTCAACTCTTAATCCAGTATGATAAAGTTTGAGTTCCCTTCAAATATAAGGATCTATGGCATTAAGTCACTGCTTCTAACTTCACTCTGATCTCATTATTTGCATCCTCAGTTAGAATAGATGGAAAAAGGGATCTAATTATAAGAAAAAGTAAGACATGCACCTGATTATACTGAAAATAGAATATACGGAGTATGCACCTAATTTTAGTGAAAAATGAAGGATTTACCATGTGAACTGCTTATGACTATGAGCAAAAGTCATTTGCCATTATCTGGCGCACAAGTCAGGAACAAACTATCACTCCATAGCTCTTCTTTCTGATGAGCAATACGGGGGATGGGCCTCTCTTTAGTGCAGGAATAAAATATATGTATATTTTGATGTATTATGAGCAACTGCCTACTGTATAGTCAAAACCTTTCCAAACTTCGTTCACAAAAAAAAAGTCTTTCCAAACTTCCAATACAAGAAAACTAAACACGTGTGTTATAAAATGTGTACCTTATATGGAGAGAAATTCCCATGCCTAAACTAACACAAAGTAATTCCCTTTCAAGTTTACTCTGATCTGATATAGTAACAACTAGCAAACATCATATGCTCAGAACTAGCAACTTAATATGCAAGAGATGGTGCTGACAAAAGGATCTGACTGAAAGAGGTGCACCAGAGTCTCTGTCATGCCATACCTGGACACTTCTAGTAGAAAGATCTGTCTGGGGGAGAGTAGCTTTTCCATCACTGAAAGACTGTAATGACTCCCTATCATAATCAGTAGAAGCAATGCTAGATGTTTCACATGCTGATGCCATATCTTCCAAAGCTGTTGAAGTGTGGTGCACTTGGACACCTTTGGCTGGCTTAGTGTAGGGCGATGTCACACCAGACGTCAACTCTCTCAATTTCTGCTCCAATAGGAGTCCCAAAAAATCACCATCAATGACATCAAGTTTAGCGTTTGATGTATTGCTTGAAGTTGACACAGCGCTCAGATTCCCCATAAATTGTTTTTCCAATGAATGATTGGGGAAGTGGGTGCCATGTAGTGACTTATCAACTGGTGAGGTAAATGTGAATGAAACAATCTCAGTGCTGATTTTCTTTTTGTTTGTTGAAAAAGATGATTGCTCATCAATCACAATATTGTGTCGAACCCGCCTCTGGCTTCTGTCAGAATGAATACTATCACTTGACTGGCTTGTATCAGAGTACACTCTCCTGTCTTGTAATCTTCTTGGCTTCGGTATTGCTTTGGGTATAGAACTATTTCTTACATTTGCATGAGCATTTGGCTGCAAGTCCACCTTTCTGCTACCTTGACTACTGTTTCCAGCAAATGTGCTGGCCGCCCTCACCTTTCTGGGATTGGCATTTATTTGGTGAATATTGCTCCGTTGTCTACTAGGGGTTGCTGGGTTTGAATTCACCTTATGTTTGGTGCCCGTAGCATTCTGTTTTCTGTTGTTTGGCACAGGCACACTGGACGAACTTGTTGTGCCCATTTGGTTACTATCCTTTTGCCGGTTCAACCTAGTTCTTTCAGCCATGCTATTTTCAGGGTTCTTGCGAGTTTCAAGCTTTCTACCACCTTTTCTCATGCCCCCTTTTTCTTGGACATGCATAGCTCGAGCAGTGTCTAATCTATTACCGGGTTTGACCTTTGGACCAACTGGAGCACATCCATTTGACTGTGAGATCCTGGAAGACAAGGCACCCTCTGAACCTCTCAATCTTCCATCTGAAGGTTTTCCACTTGGCGGCCTAAAAGATGCAGGACCATCACGTTTCCTCATTGCTTCATTAAGCTTCTGTGACCTTTGTTGGATTCCTATGATCTCTCCTGGATTGTAGGCACGTGCAGCATTTGGACTCCCAACATCATGAACTCTGTAAGAACTGATATTTTCTACTCCAGGCCTGATGATCCTCGATGCTGCTTCCATTATATCAGCAGCATTCCTGCTGGATATATGGTTAGGGTTTTTCATGGGAGACAACAACTTGTACTGTGCAACAGATAGTGTCCTCTTGGCAAGTCTTGGAGGCAGTGCTTCCATTTTATACCGATCAATAGGACTACCCGGCATCTTAAGGGGACTACCAACATAACTTCTGCCAACCAAATCCTCATGGATGTTGGTTTGCAAAGGTGGTTGCACGGTTAATGGCACGGGATTGGATTCAGGTGAGCTTGCCGCAGGCATAGAATCCAAACCCATAAGCCTAGCAACAACCGTAGGACTCCTTCTTGACTGAGCTTCTTCATCAATTACTGAAGATGAGCAGCTATGTTCACTGCTTTCCTTCAAGCTTGGGGCGTCTTCAAGGATCTGTGGAATACACAAAATCATAGTATATTCAGGACTCTGAGATAAGCAACACACTGGACGGCACAGGGAAATAAATAGGGGCAAAAGAACGCACCGAATTTGACCGTGTACTTGGTGTACTATCACCAATATCCTTCCCATCTCCAGCATTCTCTGCAAAGAAAAATCAGGATACAAATTTAGCCCGACCCCTTGTAAAAAATGTACCTTGTGCACAGCAATCACTGGACTCCTATTGCAAAATTTCTTACTCAGAATTGGAGAACTGCTCGTGCTCCCGACGAGCATGCGCTTCTTAGACTTCTTTCCCCAATCGAAGAGGGAAAAGAAACCATGCCCCTTGGAAGCAGGTTTCTCCACATCCATTTCTCCTCACCACCTAAACAAACCTGCGAATACAACACCTCGTGTAAACACAAAGAATCAACAGAATACAATAGAACTAAACCATTTCGCCCAAATGCAAGTAAAGGTAGCTAATCAAGACAGCTCTGCTCCCAGAATCAAATCTTCATCCCGAATTTGACCCAGGAAAACCCGCAGAAAACCAAAAGATTCCGACCAAGAGCTGACTCCCGCGTCCTATCCTACCAGCGACCTTCTACGAATTTAACCAGAATGCAGGTAGTCCCAAGCACAAACCACTCCAAGAATCCACAGGCCGCCCACACAAAAGGCACAGAACGACATAAAGATCCAACCTTTCCGAGGCGGCGGCGGCAACGGCACCAGCAGCAGCAGCAGCGGGGTCAACGGCGCGGGGACTCACGGAGCCGGAGCCCAACCCGAGGCAAATCGCGGCGCAGAGCAATCTGGATCGAGCCGCATTGGGCCGCCGCGCCACCCTCGCCGTGGAAGCTCCCCAAGCAGCGACCTTTTCTTTTCTCCCCCGACGAGCACCCGGAGCGAACGGCGCCGTGGAAAGAGGAGGATCCGTGCGGGGGGAGCGCGTCACGTTAGGGTTCTCGCCTCGGCCGGGAGGATGCGGGGGTGGAGGGAGGTGGCCGCGGCTGCGGAATCCATTAATGCCGCCTGCGTGAGGTGGGGTGGGAGAGAGAGAGACAGAGGAGACGGGGACGGGGTTGCCGGATTGGAGGGAGGGAGGGGAGAGAAAAAGAGAGGAGAGAGGACGACGCCTTTCTGGCTTTCTCCCTCTCTCTCACTTCTTCTCTCTCACTCGTACTACTGCTGCTGCTCTGCTCGTGGTTGTTTTTGCTCTTGTAAAAAAGCGACAATTTTGGTCGTTTTCGTGATGTAATGTAAAGTAACGAGATTTGGGCGTTTGGGGCTGGATGATTTGGCGCCAGGTTTTTTTGGAGTTTTCTGGGGCGGTTAGCTGTTAGTACGAAGTCCGGGGCAAAAGAATGTTTTTTTTTGTGTGTGCTCATGTGTGGAGCCCACTGGATTTGCAGATAGAAAGGAAGAAGGAGAGAGATTTTCTTTTTAAATGAAATAACAAAAGGAGAGAGATTAATGGCTGTTTCGATCAACCGCATCTTCTTCTCCTGACTCATGTAGGTTTCTGGCCTGCTAAATTCGGCTAGTGTTGATTTGTTGTGAGAGAAAAACACGGTGGGCTCGTTCGGCTGTTTGAAAAACCAGTCGGATTTCACTGTTCGCGGATGGGAAACACTGTTCATTCTCTCACAAATTCATCCAGATTCCTCTAAATTCGTCCCAGCGAATAGGGCCTGTATCATGACTGATAAGCCCCGACTAAAAACCAACCAACCCGCGAACAGATGCACAGTGCAATGGCGTACCGCGCGTTAGTTAGCTGTGCCGTCCACGATGTCGGATGAAGTGGTGGCTACTGGCCAGAGCCAGCATTTTGGCTCCTGTGAACCATGCAGGGCAAATTGGCAATCCCCCGGAAGTGTCTTGAGATGGCTGGATTTTATTACCTTTGTGAGGCTATTGTAGCATTTTGCAATAGGTTTGGTTGGCTTTTTTTTTTAGTTTTTGGGATTTCATTCAGAACTTGTAGAGGAGCATTTCTCTGACAAAGAAAGCGCACTGTTTTTGGCAGTCTATGAATAGTAGTTTGGCAATATTATTTGCTTGTCATTTGCCAAATTCTAAAGAAGAAAGCTGCAGTGTAATCTACTACTATACCTATGATATTATGATATGGTACCACCCCAATATAACAGTATGCTTATTGTGTTTGTTACATCGAACTTGGCAAGCTAGAATTTGACTACTTGTCCAAAAAAATTGGCCAAATGTAATTTTTAGTTGTACACCCTCTGTTCCAGATGTAAGTTGTTATGGTAACCAAGATACATAGCTTTTATTATGTATCTAGATATAAGGTATATTCAGGTGCTTAGCAAAAATAATACCTGAAGAAGTCAAATTGACTTATAATTTTGAACAAATGGAATATTAAGGTACTGTGAACTGTTTGGTTCAATGAACAGTAATGTATGAACAGTAATACTAAGTGGGAATGGAATCAGATAACTCTCTGTGCATGGAACTGAAAATGGGAGCAAATAACACCCATTAAACCTGTGTAAAGCTAATTTTCAGCCTGTTCACTTGTTGGTTTTAGCCAGGACTTATCAGCCAGCCAACAGTGTTTTCCTCACACAACAAACTAGCACAAGCCGGATTTATCAGCCCAAAAACCAAACAACGAACATGTTGTTTGTGTGTGTGGGGGTGGGGGGTGTTGGGTGGGTCCGTGGCTGGGTGGGGGTATTTTAGAGAACCAAACAGCATGTATTTTCCTTATTATATACTAGTGGGCAACAACCTCGCTAGCCGTCGGCTACCAAGGCTCTGCGTGGAGGACGGACGGTTGTTTGCGATTGAGTACCCTCCCGTGCCGGGCTGCCGGCCCCGTGCGGTCGCGGTAGCCGAAGCGCCGGCGACGGTGAGGGACTGAGGGGCCAGGGCAAGGGGTCAAGGAGGACGAATAAGCTAGCTGCCGAGCGGTCCGCGTACGACGCAGAGCGCACACACGGACACGGACGGACGGCGCCGCGCATGGTTGGTGGCGGTGCGCCATCATATGACGGCGAACGGAATAAGCATCATCACTCACGACGCACTCACCCTCCTAATGACGCCAAAACCGCGCTCGCGGCTGCGATGACGATGCAATGCCAATGCCACGTTCGTTGCCATGGACTAGATGATCATGCCCACTCGGATCGGACTCTGCACGACGGTCAGAGTTGCCATGTTGCTTTGTATACTTATTACTGTATATATGTATGTAGGTGTAGCAGGGCAGGATATGATGATATATCATGGAGGAGGGAGGAGTGGTACGTGCGTCCACGTCGCGATACCACTAGCTAGAGCAGGATCGCAGCAGCGCACCGGACGGAGAGTACCGTATGCTTGAACCTGACTGAACGTCTCGCCTACCGTAGGGCGTAGCTAGCTGCTGCTCCTACATTGCAGTTGCAGCCCAGCAGCACTCCGTCTCCACTCCACCACAAGGGATGATGCAGATAGATGCAGAGGGCTCCTCTTTCTCTTGTCCACAAGGCACGCATCTGCTCCTGCATCTGCTACGGGTCAGCCAGGGGACAGTGCTGAACATGAACAGATGAGAAAAACAACGAGGAGCATGCCTGCCTTCCTCCCTTGTGGTGGCCTGTGCCTGTACACCCAAATACACAGCGTCCCTGATCGATCCAGTGGCCATCATCGCAATTCGTTTACACGACGAGGTGACCCAGCTGCTAATCACGCACTTAGAGTAGAGACAACAGATCAGTGTCAGCAGGTTCCCTCGCGCCCAGGGCACACACACGCGTACGATTTAATTCCTGAAACCGCACGGCGCGCCTGCTCTCTCTGCCTTCTCTGCTAATAAGGATAGACAGATGCAGACACAGACAGTCAGTGACACTGAGATCTCTCATCTCGTTCAGTAACCACTAACACTCCACCATCATTTTCTTCCTTCCATCCAAATACGTACAAAAGCAAAAGTAGCAATATATACTCCATCAGCGCGCCACCGATGTCTTAACAACCACGGGATTAATTAGGATTAGCGTACGCTACGCAGAGCAGGCAGGGGCAATGGGGGCATGTCAGTGCTGAGTGTGGTGACGTACCCATCCCACAGGTACAATACAATACAATGGCGTCGTCTTGCTCTCGCCGACGGAAGGTTCGCTGTCGTACGTCATCCACCGTCAGGCTCATCGGACGGAGGCGTCGAACGAGCCTACGCCTACCTTTGGTTCCATTCCGCTGCCGGAGGATCGAATATATTCTGCTGGTGCGGTTGGGTTGGGTTTTCTGTTGGCGCGTCTCAGGCAGGCAGGCAGGCAGCACGAGTGCGGTGGAGGATCCATACATGTCCATCTGAGACCGAATTGAAAAAGCTAGCTGATTCGTTCCTTGCTCTTGTCGCTGCTGGCTCCTGGCAGTGGCAGTCTAGAAGATAAGGAACAAGCTAGCTAGGGCACATGTAGTTGTAGAGGTAGAGGCGTTTGGCAGAAGATGTGTAGTCCAGCTAGAGATGCTGCAATGGCTCGTTCCTTTTGCCCGTGGTAATTATGCAAAGCAAAGGTTGGTGCCATGCACGTTCGATCGGAGTAGAGTAGTAGTGCGAGAGCTGGTGGCGCAGAGAAGGCCAGAAGGGACGGTGACGGTGAGAGCTGTGTTTTTCAAGTTTTCACCCTTCCCCAAACCTACTTTTCCCTCCTCCGTGACCATGTCCATGGAACAAAGGCACGGCAGAACCTTTGTTTGCTTTCTGCTGTATGTACGTCGATGATCCTGCAAAATTACTGCCTTTTCATGCCAACGCATGCAGTGCAGTGCAGTGCAGTGCAGTGCAGGGGGGCAATGCGTGCGCGGCACTCTGGAAAAAAGATGACACCATGCATGCATGCGCGGCGCAGATATTATAGAGAGACGCGCAAAGTGCAATACACTACTGTACTGTAATGTGATGTGGGGGAACAGAAACACCGGGAGATCACAGAGCGCGCAATGCGATGACGATGTGGTTTTTACTGTTGTTGTTGAAGTTTATAGAAAATACTATTCGCATTTATAGCTCTCAATTTTTTTTAAAAAAAACTCTCAATAGAGATGGTATGAAAAAATATATTTCATGATAAACCTAACGATGCCAATTTTGGCATCGTAAATGTTAGTTTTTTTTGTATAGCTTTGATCAGGTTAAATAAAACTATTTAACTTATTGAAAAGTGAGAGTTTTTTTGGGGGGATTTTCCTGATCCAATGCAGTATGTGTTTGTGGCTGAAGTGAAGGTGTGCAAGTGCAGCTGCAGTCTCTACTGAAGTTGAGGAGCCAATGCTGTGCTGTGAGATCTGTCCAGTGGGCAATGGCAGTATGGCACTAGGGATCCCTATATGGCACTGTGTCACTCACTCCTGCGGCCATTCCTGGGTTCAGGACCTCAGGTACACCATGCGGTTTCGCACGCACGCGCGAACCTGGCCGCCCCACCTCGACACGAGTACGAAAACAGAGACGGACAACGGTGTCGATCGTGTGATGATGTCAGGCAACCACACTTGATAAGTTTGGTATGGTACGCACGAGCAGTCGAGCACGACGCAGCACAGGGGCCGACAGCGCAGGATGGGGCGAGCATCCTCCGGATCAGCGGCAGGCGAGGTGCCCTGCCTGCCTCCTTCCTCTACGTCTTTCTCTTGCTCCACATTTCCATCTCGGGGTGGGATGGTAATCACCCTGTTCGCTTTCCTAATAAGCCCATGACTGAAATGAAATTACGGTTGGTTGATTTGTTGTGAGAGAAAAATATTGTTCGTTCGCTGAAAAAATATAAATTATAAGCGAAGCGAACATAGCGGGCGCCGCCGTGGCCGCGTGCTGGACTTGTGGATTGTGGTGTGTGTTGCGTGCCACTGCCAGCGCCAAGAGTTTTTAGGGGAGCCTTTTACGTGTGTGCCATTACAAAATATGCTTCAGGCCTACAGGCCCCTAAAAAGTCTAAACGCACCTAGATACCATGACACTTTATTTTTTTGTCATTCACGCTATTCCGTTCACCTTCCGTCTGGTTTTCCACCATTTGACAGCCCTGACATGTGGGCATAAACGGTCACAAAGTCTAAAATACCCTTCTCTCACAACCTTATCCTTCCGCTTTCTTTCTCTCTGTTCGGTGGGCCCAAGCTGTAAGTGACCCGGGCACCTTCCTCCTCAAGAACGCGGCCGGGGAGAGCTCGTCTGCAGCACCGTCATTGATTCTGCCGTGGGCGGAGCTTCGCCACATGCTGCCGCGATGGCCGGGGCAGAGTTCGCCATGTGCCGCCTGTGGTGGCCGGTGCGAGCTCGCCCTCATGAGGTGGGGAAGCGGACTTCATGGCGGCACCACGCTTCTGGCGTCGAGGATCGCACGCGCGCGCGTCGCTGGCGTGGGGCGGGCGCGACGAGCGGCGGTCGCGACGCCGACACCGAGGGATCGCCATGAGGCGGCGGCGCTGCGTGGCGGTGCCGTGGCGGTTGCGAGGCGGCGCGGGCGCTCATGGCATCCGCGCGTTCGCGGCGTGAGGCGGGGCACACACGGCGGCCGCAACGCCGGCTGAAGGGGGACGCCTGCGCGTGCGCGCGGGCGGTGGCGGGCGTTTATGGCGTCCCGCGCGTTCGCGGTGTGTGGCGCAGCGCGCTTGCGGCGCCGCGACGCAGCGCCGAGGACGTGCCTGGTGGCGATGATGGGCATGGCGGGCGCTTCGTGGTGTCCGCAGCGTTCGAGCCGGCCAGCGCTGCGACACACGTTGAGGAAGCTGGTGGCAACGGCGTCGTTGTCGTCACTCTTGGGAGCAGCGGCGATGGAGCACCGGGTTGGTGATGGGAGGCGGGAGTGCCAGGGTAGAGTCGGGCAGCGCCGCAGCGGGTGCCGAACGCGGGGATGGCGAAGGCGACGCAGTGGTGAAGCTCCACCGCTCGATGGCGTCTCTGTGCTCCCCTGCGTGGAGGCAGAGAATCCGACGAACGCGTCATCCTTGACGTGCTCCCCGAGGTCGAGCGGCGCGGACAACACGGGGCTGGATGGCGCTTGGGCGCGTAGGACACGAACACCTCCAAGACGCCGCCTTTCCCATCGCCGGAACCGGAGGGACGCTAGTCGATCCAGGCGTTGACGGTCCTCTCGCATGTGAGGTCGACCCGCCGATGGCGTTGTCCCTGAGGTTGGCGGAGGCGGCGGAGACCATGGAGCCGAGATCCGGGCCGACATGGTTCCGTTAGGGTCGCCGAACTGGACGTCCATGAGCGCGTCGAGCTCTATCGCAGCGGCGTCGGTGGCTCGGGATGGGGTGGCACAGCTCTATGCGACTTGTCGTCCTCGCTAGCTTCTGTGACAACGCCACGCGCGCAACGCCACGCGAGCGGCCGGAGCGAGCAACGGAGAGAACTCTTTCTTGCTAGCTTGATGACCTCACCGTGAAGTCATGCTTACACCTTATACAACCATATCTGCGGCCAAAATTAAAAGATCGCATACACTTATGCTAGCAAACCTGAGGGTAGTTTAGACATTTTTCAGCACAGTTTGACACCGTTAGAGCTAAAAGTGGACGGAATGACGTGTTGCATAAAAGAATTTAGCGTCATGATATCAGAGTGCGTTTAAACTTTTTAGTGACCTGTAGCGTAGAGCATATTTCGTAATGGCGGGAAAAGGCTCTTTTCAGGTCGAGAACGAACGGACCACGGACGTCTCCAAAGCCCAAAGGTGGTGAAAGGCGTTGCCAATCTGCCACCCATCCTGTGTCCTGTCCAGCCTCATGCGCACAAGCTGTCGCAGTCGCTTCAATAGTTGTTGCCGAATTGCAAGCACTTGGAAGTTGGAATGGATGGTTGGTGTACGGGGAAGAAGGGCCCAGGTCTGAGTGGGCCACGACGACGACAACGTTAAAGTATCTCGATGCACACTCTGTTCACCTGTCGGTCCGCTAAAGGCTGCAGCCACCCGATGCAGTCTGCCGCAGCTTTGCCTTTGAATACTACTACTTGAAACAAATTCTTAGCAACGTGATTCAAAAATAAAAAAAATTCTTAGCAACTTCGTAGATGCCGTAACGTTGCATGCTATTTACGCGTACAAAAGAAATTCTGAAGAAAAACTATGACCCTGTCTTTCTGGTAAAAAAAGAAGGCTTATTAAACAAAAGTAACAAAAGGATCTCGAGCAGATCATATGATCATGTATGTATTCTTGAGGAATGTGGATTTTCGACACGGGAAATTTTTTAAAAATATATTTCTTTGGAGTTACAGTAAAGGAACAAAAATCTTGGTACATATGCTCTTCAAGTATGTGAACCCACTTCTATTGATCACAATTAGAGATCATCCACGAAGTTTGAACTCCCACCCTCCCTGCCTGCCTCCAAGTTCCAACTCTGGAAAGCAAAACAATTAGAGATCATCCAAAAAACACGCAGCTCACACATCTCATCACAAAGCATACCTGGTGTGAACATATATATCGAAACAAATATATGAAGTGAGCCTGACTCAACTGGTTGGGTGAGAAGTGTGGTCATAAAAATCTAGTAGTATTATGATCAGATAAAACCCAGGTCAGATTTGAGCGTACACAAGGCATAACATGGTAAGTAGGATCCAAATAGCATACACGAAGCAGCTCATCTTCATCCCATCCCAAATGATCATGGTTACTTTAGTCTCCAACAGAAACAAAAAGAGGTACTCACAAGTCCCTTCATTTTCTTGGCAGATATCGATAACCGATAGTTCTGTACCAACTACCTACGATTCATCAGCAAGCAAGAAGTACCACAAGGTCTATTCTGCTCAACAGCCTCTCAGAAATGACGTATGGCCAGACCATAGTCCATAGGATTAAAGATCAGCCGCTGATGCTGCTGAGCCAGAACAGCATAGGGAACTGCACAACCGCCAAGAAGAGCAGGAAGTAGTGGTTCCGGCTGGGGTGCCTCTCGTAGCTCCTTGGCCCGCCCAGAAGAACCCTCTTCATGGTCTTCACAAGGAAGACTCCCGTGCAGATGCAGAACCATGGCATGATGAAGTAGTACAGGTAGCCCCAGAAGATGCGGGCTAGCATCGCAACGGAAATGCCAGTGAAACCATATCCAGCGTACGCCACGACGTCCAGCAACGGAGCCTCACCGCTGCCCAGGGAGTACAGCAGACCCTTGATGAGGATGACTTGCAGAAACCAGCCAAGTATCCCTTTAGACAACTGTAGGATCAGCGCCTCAGGGGTAAACCTGCATCGCCAAGCAATGCAGCGGTTCATATATTTATTTGCCTTTCTCGTGTGCAATGTTCCTCTCTAATTCTAGATGAAACACAATAGGTTGTTCACAGCGTGTTTACCTTCCAAGAACACCCAAAGCATACCCAGCAACTATAATGTAGGTGCCAAATGCCATCAAAGGGATGTACAAGTCTGGTGCATTGATATCCTGGACTGGAGGTTTGTAGGACAGCCTTCCTCCTACTGGTTCAGTTATTCTTGTCCAGTGACCCTTAATGAAGGCAATAAAGGCAAGACACGTCATATGAGACTTCACAAAATCACAATATGAAAAATCCCGCTGAGGCAGATAGAAAGTTGACAGCTCTTACCCTGTGCAAGAAAGGGAACAAGATGACCTTCAGTTTGTTCCTCACATACTGGCTGTTGACTTGAAAGTAGTACTGAGGGTTGGATAAATATTGTGTTATCTGGCAAAAACAGAATGAGGTTTAGCCTTTACAGTTTCAGGATAGTTATACTAATCTCTAAACAAGGAACCTGTGTACAAATTTACATTGCTCTGCATAAACTCAGAACTTGAATCTAAGAACCTCCCCCCATATGCTTCTAGTCCAGTACGGATCAATCCTGGTCCAGCACCATGCAAGGCACTTCCAAAAGGATTTGCTTGTGGATTTGTAGGCCTGCCACCTAAGCCTCCCAAATCACTATTCATCACTGCCACAGTAACTGAATAAAATTGGAGTCAGACAACAAGTAATTGAAGGATACATGCACAATAAGTAGTTGTCTGGATCTCAAGATTAGAAATCAGTTCTTAGAGATGGCTTTTATTAGGAACATTTAGACAAAAAAACAAGGTTTAATTAGTTATTCTGCCATTTTTGGTTTATAAATTTCTGTGTTTGTCTTGCAAGTGCTCAATGTGTTTCGTGTTAGATGAATGGCACGTCGTTAGTCACCATGCAAACAATCCTCATCATCAAAGCTGAGTTAGTTATGTGAATGAAAGATTTCCAGCCACAGACACAGGAATAGGGTAAACTGATTTTGTTAAAAATGACTCAGAGTATATTTTACTAAAAACATGGAATCTTGAGTTTACTAGAAACCAGATTTGCTTATCTCAAAGTTAGCTGTAGGAAACAGACAAGGTTTTTCTAAATAACAAACAAAAACTTGTTTTAAGAAATCTAGCTTTTATAAAACTTGAGATCCAAACAAGGCCTAAAGTACGCTCCACATCATTGCATCTCATCTGAAATCATGTAACCTACTGTCTCCAGGAACACAACCATATTGTGATAGAAGTGCTGCTGAAATAGCATTATCTGTGGTTCTGTGACAACCAGACTTCTGTTGGCCAAAAAGGATAATCTGGACCAACATCAAACTACAAGAGTCTTGCTTTTGAGATTGCGTAATCCGGAATGGTCTATACGAATAACAAATTAAACATTGTTCAATGCAAGTGTGAATTATTACTGGCACATTATGAAAATATACCGAGGAACGCATTGTAACTAGAGATGCAATTAAAACAATAAAAATCTAGAGCCTAGCCAGATTTGCAGAAATCACAAAGTTCTGTTGTGACCAGAGTAGCCAGTAGGCCACTTTGCAGCCTTTTGGTGACAGCACACACTTCAAGATTCATCGACACAAGAACCAGAACTAGAATCTGGCATTGTTTTCCAGTCCCAGTCACATCGAGAGAAAATTTCTAATCCTGCATCTCTGCCTCTCTAACTTGCTCCTTTCTTAGCCCGATCACCATCAAATACTGCTCGGACTGATTCTTTCCTTTGATGCTTTAGGCTTGTGGACTCCTAATAACCAATACTCCGTATGCGTTTGCTATATTTTCTCGTTGTGCTACGACTAAATTAGCTTCTCTCTGATAAATCATATTCCTAAACCTTAGTCGATTTATGAATATTGAGTGATAAAGAGACTGAATCCTGTAAATGTACCCCAACTAAATGTACACCCGATAAGTTTTTTTTCCCCAAAAAAGTCGAAGTTAGTACTTAGTAGGCATAATACATGTACACACCTGTAATTAGATCAGATCAGATCCGGGAACAAATAGCCTAAGTTGGGGTTCGTCTGCTCGGTTTCGCACAGCGGGAAGGATGATGAGAAGGGGGGCGCATACCTGGCTTGTCGCCGGCGAAGGCGCCGACGAAGACCTGGGCACCTGGCGTAGCGCGGCGTCGACGGCGACGGCGGATCGAACACCTACAAGGTTGCCTGCGAGGCCTGCCTGAACGCTGCGACAATCTTCGTTCCGACCAGTCGGAAAGCGAGTCACCCACATGCCACCTCCACGGCCACAGGCCCACAGCCCACGGCCCAACAACTGGTTGTCCCGCTTCTTGTGTTGGCTCCATTTCTTGTTGTTATTTTCTTTCTTTTTTTCAGTTTTTTTTCTCTTCATTTTCATTTGAGCTCAGATTGAATAGGGTATTGGCTTAATTGTGTTCCACCAGTATGTATGATATATAGTTATGTTATTTACATTGTATAAGGTTTGTTCTGGCTATACAAAAATTTTGTTCCATGTTTACAGTTTTGTTGTTGTATACAGTTTTTTTTTTTGTGCTACGAGTTCTCCGTAATTTGTTCCATCCGCAATAATAAGAACAACAACAGAGTTACACACCCAAAAAAATGTCAGGTAACATGCGAGGAAAACAAGGGAGGGGGGAACGAAAGAGACGAAGCACGGGCCTTTAAATTTATAGTACAAAGAAAACGGACGGTCACGAAAAGGTTAACAACACGACGACACAGCAGCTCGCCGGATCGAGGCCGTCGTCAGGCGTCTCCGTCTTCGGGTCAGTAGCGGCGCACGAGGCCGGTGCAGCGGTCCTTGATCCAGCGGAAGCCCTTGCGGATCGACGCCTTGACCCTGGCCTCCACGGCGTAGGACTTGTACCCGGCCACCCTCCGCCGGCGCTTCGCCTCGGGGTCGCCCGACCACCACGACAGCGCGCGCCCGTCGCTGCCGCCGTGCGACGATGACGACGACGCCGACGCCGGCTGCACCTGCACGCCGCCCCGGAACTCCTCTTGCAGGCCCCTCATCACGCCAAGCGTACCGTTGGCTGAAGTGGTTGGCTCTGGACGGACGTGGGTGGGAGGCCCCGCGGCGCCCGCACGTATATGTAGCGGAGAGACGTGAAAGCTGCTTCCGTCGTTTGTGCTTGGCATGGTATGCCGCTGGGGCTGCAGAAATGAAAAGGAAATCGAGCAGGTGAGGGCGGCACGCTGCGCTGAGGCCGAGCGACGCCTGTGTCTCTCTCGCGAATTGTTTTAGCGGTAGCGGGAGTGGAGGAGCAGTGGACGCCCCGTCCCGTCCCGTCCGTCCCGCAGCTGCGACTCTTTCCTGCAAGTGGAACCAGTCGCGGGCTGGAGAAACCATCCATCTCCTGCAGAACACAGATTTGCCTCTTGTTTTCGCAGCATATACTTTAACAAACCCTCCATTTATAAAATAAGCATATAGCAGAAGAAACCCTCTATTGAAACATCTGTACTTCTGGTGTTTTCATTGATGAACAGGTGAGTGACGGACTTGTGCACATTTAATATGAGAACAGATACATCCGGTAACAGCATGCTATTATGAATAAATAAACATTGTGCCACCTCTGGTGAATGAACAGAAAATCAGGTAATCAGCATACACCGGTGCTCCTAAACTCTAATTGAAATTCTTTATTTTTTCCCTCTTGTTTCTTTCAGTTCTACATTGTCTCCAATTCTGCTTTTTCCACCATCCAGCTTTACTTTCCCACAAAACAAACCAACCTACAACAGATATAACTTATTGGTGACAGGAAAAAAGTTAGCGTGCAGGCTTATAACTCATACAACCCCCGTTACAAGAGGGCACTCGGTCTCTGCCAGAGATGTGCAGAAGGCGGTTCAGTTTGGACGGTGAGGCAGTAATCATACTATAAAACCATTTACAGCCATGAGTCATCTCCACGTTGTACTGAAATGGGAGACGAAGAACCGGAAATCTGGGTGGTCTACTTGTATTCTGCGGAGCCAGCTGTCAGCCTCCTGCATCAGTGAGGTGACCCGCTCTTGGGTTCCGTCAGATGTCCAAATGGAGGCACGGAATTTGTAAGGTACCAGCCCAAAGATAGGCAATGATAGTTTCCCAGTTGCAGTTGTGCAGCGGTTGATTCCCCCAAAGCCAGGGCATGCTGACGTAGGAGGGTCACAATCTGCAAGAACAAATGGAGTAAGAACTCTATATGCAACAGATGCAATCAGGGGCAAAATGTCACACAGGTGCCATTGCCATCTGTCCGTGGCAAAGTAAAATCCCTATGGCACTACAAGTCACTAGTATTTACCCTTGCAAGGTGTTGCTAGACAATGGAATGTCAAAAAACAGGCATCAAGATCCTTCAATGTTGGCCCTGTTGGAATTCTATATATGGGGTACCTGCAATCGGAAGCGTGAGGATGAAACCAGTAACGTATAGAATCATAGCAACACCAGGTTAGCAGCGTTGCTCTTCTACACAGGTTGTATCTTATGCTGAAATTCAGCACAGTAGGCAAGCCATTGTTAGGCATTGCAACTGGTAGGCATCCTCTGCATGGGCCAGCACAGCTGGCAAATGTCATAACTCTGACCAGTGCAACAGCATCATTCTAGATTCTACAAATCAAAATGTAGTACACAGAAAAAAAAGGCACAGCATTAAGGCAATGAAACTAGATGTTGGCTGATTATAAATACATGAGATCAACTTAATGCAGATATCTTATAGAAACGTCAAGCAGCTCAGACCACAGCTAAATAACAAGAAAACACTGACCTTAACAAATTAGTCGACACATTTTAAGTGGAAGTTAGAAGACAACATTGACCTCAGAACTAAAGCAATCGCACAAAACATATCATACATCATAAGTGAGTCCAGCAATAGAGGACCATATTTCATCACGGCCATGCCATTGAGAAAATGGAAGTAAAAATTGAGTGAACAAAAACCAATAGTAATTGGAACATACCATGCAACAGACATCCAGCTCGATGGCAGCAGATCACAACTTTTGAATGTCTTCAGAGCTGGAAATCTATGTGCAAGAGTTGATACCTGAAACCCATGCATAGTTAGATTCTATAAACAGGCCATCTTCAATAAGCATTAGTTCAAAAAAAGAAAAAGAAAAAACTTGCCTTGTCTGTCAGAGGCTCTCTACCATATGGAGGATCCCTCTCCATATACTCGAATATTGGAAAACTTGGAGATGCATCGCCCTCACCATCATCACTTCGTACGCCACCATTTTCCAGTCGATGTGTACCTTCCAGTGATGATGAGACTCTTAGCCGCTCAACATCATTGTCAATGCTGCTCTCACTGCTAGTATCCATAGATTCCCCATCACTTTCATCCCCAGGACGCCTTAAGTAAGCGAGAAAATTAACTAGAAAAAGTTATACACTATCAAATACATCACCAAGGTGATAAAAGCAACCATACTGAACAGCGTGCTGGTTGTTGCTATCTACTCATAACTTCTCTCTCCCATTTGTTACTTCATTTAATTTCTTTCCATATATGTCCACCAAATTAAAGTCACATGTAGCAATGCCTAGTGAACATCAGGTGAATGCAAAAGATATCAACTCTCATCTCAGTGTTCTTGCAAGTTAACAGAGAACAAATCTGCAAAACGTTGTCACATATAGAATTTCTTGATAAAATCATGTTAGTAAATCTCAGCAACGCATAACATAATTTTCCTCGAAAGGGAATATAACTAAAAAGAAAAGTTGGGAATGCCTAATCTGCCTTAAGCTCTAGTTCAATAGCATTCAAGCATAGTTATTTACTTTCAAACAGATTGACATAGATGTACAAAAATTCGAAAAGCATGGAGCACAATCCCATCAGTATTCAACTTAATACCAAAGGTCACTAACTAAGCATAACAGAGACAAACAAGGAACCCGTTTTGGTACACACATTGGCCCTCTTAAGGTTTAAGTTCAATGGAAACTTTCTAGACATCATGACTCTTTGTGACAGAATAGGTTGTACCTGTTTCTTGAAGCTGGTCTAGATGGATCCGCAAATAGTTGGATAGCAGAAAGATATGGCACATAATACTGAATCACCGAGTCACTGCCATTTAACACCAGTGGAACACCAGCCCCATAAGCACTCCATTCCCGGAAAGATTCCCAAAGATCTCCCAGGAGGAAATAAGGCCGTGAATCCATAGCATCACCACCTCGCCGCATCCTTAGGCTTGTCTGCAGTGGAAAAAAATTTTTGGAGCTAATCAGCACCAGAAAAGTGAGACGATTCCTTAAATGGGGAGTGGTAATTCAACCAAAGAACTGAAATTTGTCATGGATCAAGAATATAGTACAAACATTATTACTACATACATGATATAGAAATAAACAGCGTCATCCAAATTGCAGTGTATTTACTTGTCAGAGTTCACTTCACACAACTGCAAAATCCAGATATAGCAACAGATATGCATACTCATAAACGTATTACATGGAACTGCAGTGAAGTTATAACAAGCGGTCAAGTGCAGCAATTCAGAAACATAGACCTAAGCGGTCAAGTGCATTACATGGAACTGCAGTGATCTTATAACAAGGCGTGCCTATCCCATTCCACCATTATGGTGACTAACAACATGTGAAGTATAAAACATAGACCTCAAGTTTCATACGAACCAAGCAGTGGTGAACATTTTTGCAAATATCAGCCCATTTCAAGTTTTCATCGGCACTTATGGTCATCTTCTTTTGATATCAAGAATGATTGTGGCTTTGAATACATGACTATCAACCAGAGCTAAATGATTGATTCAGACTAAATTCCAAGTCACGATTCATTCTCTAATCGTTAACTGCAGTGTTTCTACAGACTCATCTTTGACTATGCAAATGCAGTACAAAATGGCACAGAGACTACAATTCTATCCATCGGATCCCCGTCCTATCAACCACAGCAGATACATCTAAGAAGTAAAACAACAACACAGCAGACTACTGAAGCAGCAAAGAGCAATCCCGAGAATACCTTGGGCAAGTACTGCGCGGTCACGGAGGGCGTCGTGGAGGTGAGAAACCTCTCCAAATTCCCAGCTTCCTCCGCCGCCGCGGCCACATTCACATCACCCGCCGCCGCAGTGGCCGCCGTGGTCGCCGTGGACGCCACCGACGGCTTGGACGAGGTCGTCGACGAGGAGTCGTCGGACCGGCTGTCCACATCCACCGACGCGGCCCCGGCCCCGGCCCCAGGCGGCGGCGGGGGCTTCTGCCTCGCCGACCGCGGCGACGGCGACGGGGACAGCGACGGCGACGCGGACCGCAACCGCTGTTGCTCCTGCTGCTGCTGCTGGCGCCGTACGTGGGGAGGGTTGTAGAACCTGTTCTCCGGCACGCCACGGGACGAGGAGGAGGAGGCTGCGCCGCCGGATGAGCCTGCCATGGCGGCGGCAGCGGCGGCGGCGGCGGCGGCGAGAGGGGACCGGTAGGTGGGGCTGCGCTAGGGTTTTGCGCGGGACCGGGGATTGGGGAATTGCGGTGATTAGGGTTAGGGTTTTGGTCGCTTCGTTGAGCGCTTTTTAATACGCGGGGTTTGGATCTGAGGCGGCGAAGCGACTGCGCGAGCGGGCGAGCGGGCGAGGACGAGGAGAGAAGGAGCCGAGGAGAAACGCAGGCAGGCAGAGCGAGCGTGGTGGGATGATGGGCGCGGGCCCTCGCGTCGCGCTGGTGGTTCTCCGCGCTCGCGACTCCCGTGGCTCAACTCCATTCCGTTTGAACAGCGTTTTCCTCTAGTAACATTTCAGTAAGCTAAATTTTAGTATAAGTGAACAGGGACTTTCGGGCCATCGGTTTGGTTTGTTTCCCTAGCTTTCTTGCCTAGCCTGACCAAGCAAGATCATTCTTGCCAACGTGGATAAGCATATTTGTCTCTCTTGTAAAAATAAGGTAAATCTTGCTTGAGACAAGCTTGACCATAATCCAAACAGTTCTTCTTCTCTAACTTCTTACCGAGCGAGCTAAGATAAGTCTAAGCCCAAAA